TCCGATTTCTCATTTCAGGACTGACTTACATGAACTTGATATAAAGAACGACATTACGAAACAACTTCCGTCTTCCGCTTCCATTTTGGAACACACCGCAGGTAAGAATTGTTAAATGCGTCATGGTCTGTATTGGTTATGTTTTATGTTACACTGTATTGGTATACGGTATTACTAATGATACGTGGATACTTCAGCGAACAGTCAATCTAGGTTCGAAAAAGATTAATGGAATACTGCCTTTATATATGGTTGCCTTTAAAGCTTCCGATGCACCGTCGCAACCGTCATTAAGCATACAAAACATTAAAGATAGTGTCTGTGAATTGCTTATCTGTCATAATGCCGGTAATTGTACCAATATTTATATATATTTGTCTGTAAGCTGCCAAGCACATCTAGATATCGAAGATATCACATTCATATTTGCAAAATCAACAGACTAACGAATAACATTTTCTACTGCAATTTTATATAGATTATTAATTTATTTAGTGTTTTTCAACAGTGGATCGCATTTAAGCATAAGGTTATTATCTGGATTCATTTGTACAGTTTTTTTTCTAATTCAACTCTAGAGCTGCGATTTTAAAGCTGCGATAAGCTACCTACACTGGCGGATCCAGACGTTGAACTAAGTGGGACGCCAGGGCGACAGGCTATCCATCGGACTTTTAAGCTCTGGATATATTTTTATTGGCTGCTTGAACGGTCTAATGACCCGCTGTGATCACCGAAGAAAAATCGGTCCTTGTTTTAGAACGTTGTCTTGTTTGGGTTATGGCAACGTCCTATGCAATAATGCAGTTTCGTTTGTTGTTTTGAGTTAACTGAATTAACTCTGAGGAAAGTCTGTTGAAAACACAATTGTACTGCGCTTGAGAATATCGGCACTGTAACTCGCAGAGCGGAAACTGTCTGTTAGGAAGCTTATTGATACAGTTGAGTACCTCTCGAAATATGCAAATTTTGAAAGTGTTAAGGTATAATTAGATCTGTGTTTAAGGAAAACTCGGTCAGGGAAATCACACGATGAACGTGATGCCATCGGTTATTTTTTTCTTTTTCTTTCAAAATGCTTTTCGTCCACACCACGAAAACGAAAAGCCAGCGTTTTTAAATTCTTCTGATTTCAAGAGCGTTCTCGAAAAGCTCCGTTTTAATGACCTAGCAGTGTGGACGGTAGGCCTAATTTCTCCGGCGTAATGTGGATGGGCTTCGTCAGTACTCTGCCGAAACTCAATTTCGTCACCTATGTCGGATTTCGAATCTATAGTCGATTTCAAAG